GAATCTTCAAAATCAATTTAATCTTCTTGAAGCTACTCCTGGTTTCCTTCCTGATATCTCTGACCTGATGGTACTTACAGTGAGAATAAAGTACGATATTTCTTGTTGCTTCGCGTACTTTTATGACGTTACGCCATTTATGCTGGTACTTTGTGAGGCAGTGCAATTACCCAATCGATCAACACTTGCGCAGTAGAATGTGGGATCCTCAGAGTCACCATATTCCCAATGCGAAACAAACGGTCGTGAGTCCTCCTCAATGAAATCAAATGAGGCATAGTTGAGAACTAGGTAACAATGCTTAGTAAAGTGATTAAAGTTATTATATTTCAAACACTTCTTCTTTATGAAGGCACATTGGAAAAGAATATGATATAGATTAGCATAGAGAATTATTGCAAACGACTGTGACACTAATTTTTCAACTTTCTCCAGCTCTACTGCGCAAGTGTTAATCGATTGGTTGCACTGCCTCACATTGCCGCATAACGTAACGTCATAAAAGTACGCGCAACAACGAGAAATATGGTACTTTTTTCTCACTGTAAGTACCATCAGGTCAAAGATATTAAAAAGGAAACCAGGAGTAGCTTCAAGAAGATTAAATTGATTTTGAGGATTCTTTGATCGCAGTGTGCTTGTAAAGGAGATTACCAGAAAAAGCCGATCAGTCAAAAAAATGAGCGACGCATATTGCGAAAGTCTTAAGACTAAGATGACTCAGATGTTTTTTTTTGATACCAAATTGTGCTTATAAAGAAGATTACCAGAGGACAGCCAATCAGTAAAGGAATTGAGCGACGCAATTTGCGAACGGTACTAAAGACTAAGATGAGGCAAATGTATTCTTTAATACCAAAAGTATAGAGAAGAATGTTGTCAGTGTTTGCTTTCGGCCCCCGTTTTGGCGGAGAATCGTGGATAAGTCATAGAGCATTTGTAATAGCGCCTGTTCTAATGCTAGATCCAGGCTACAGAGGAGGTTTGAAAGGTTGATATAGAATGAAGCTTGTGTCGTAGACGAAAAGTACTCAATAATCGTTTGCTTGGTCAAAAAGCCACCCGAACTGGCTCCGTTCTCATGTGGGGAAGCAACCTTTTATATAAAATTTTGAGATGCACGATTTTGCCGAGCCACTGCCTTTGAGGGCGGCGACTTTGTAGTTGTTCCAGTGATTTAATGTAGCCGCCATAACGCGATGCTACTTCAGCAAGCCCGCTAAACAGGATCTGGGCAGACACCGCAGAAACAGCTGCGGTTCCTGAGAGCATCATTGCTCGCCTGAGATGCGATCTCCCTTGCTATCCCGCCTTGTAAGTTTTCACAAAGGCCCATCTTAACACTTTAGCTTCCACGGACCTCGTACAAAGCCCATTATAAGTAGCGTTGGAGGACCCACAGATAAGATAGCATGGTTGCTTAACAAAATTCTTTCGCCGCTTCTCAGACTTGTTCCGGCTCATCTCACAGAAACCAAAATGTTTTTGAAGAGGCTGAAGAATGCTAACTTGAGATATGGTAGTATCATGGAATACTTCGATGTGAATGCACACGAATGTGTTCAACGAGGCAGCCATGCAAGCAATCTTTTTCAACATAGCAAATGCGGCAGCAGAATGCACCATGCGTTGTGAGACTCTCTCGTCGCGCTTCGAGGTCAGCGTCTTTTTCTCCTTATCATTACACCGCCGCTTGTCCTAAGATTTGGCGGCCGTTTCAGGGACTGGCTTCTAATCAGAACAACGTCATAACCATACACGGTTGCGGAGCATCCTAGTCGTCTTGTTTTTTAAAAATTCAGGTTTATATTATAGGAGAAGATAAGCAGGTGCCTATTTGTAGGTGGTATCTTGCTGTGAAGCATGCTCACGATTTTGCTTTTCAAGATCGTAGTTCTCTTGATGATTGGCTGACATGCAAGACTTATATTCTAGTTCAAGGCACACGCAATTCAAATATTCACATAAAATCAATTCTGGTTTTGAATTAAACATCACACGTTTTTCGCACATGGAATCCACCTCATAAAGTTGGAAGGTGTAGCACGCTGCGTTGTTGGGACAGCTAATTTTTTCTCTAACCCTCAGCAGAAAGCACATTCCGTTCTTAACGCAGTGACATGAGTGGCATGACTTTCCTAATATCACAAACATATAATAATCACAAATTATCAATTTACTCAACTAAATCAATTAAAGCGTTATGAATGTAGTGGCAAATTCAGAGGAGAGGCGTATCGTAAAAATTACGGATACGAACTATTTTGAGCTAAAGATTTGCGAGCTTGTTTTCTACACTAGGTTCTCGAAGCATGAAGTGTTGTACAAATGCAGAGTGAAAAAGTGTTCCTGATCTTTGGAGACCACCGAAGCATTGAATGTACACAAAGAAGTGATATGCAAAGTATTACTTTCCACAAACTTAGATTTTTGTACGCACGTATCAAAGAGTTCACTTTGCGCATGACTATGTTTGCCACGACAGTCTAAGCCTAGTTTATCAATGAGCTGAACTGAGTAAAAACCTTGCGGAGCGCTCTGATGTGGCCGGTGTTCCCAAGCAAGCAATACAATGTAATCTCTGAACTTTTTACAATGCATAGGGCCGCATGCATTAACATCCCCGCTGGGGAGAAGGATCGCAGGTTAAAAGAAAGCTCCAAATTCTGAAGCTTCAGATATCTGGATTTTACTTGTCTACCATCCATAAGTATTCCTGCTATCTTTCTCTACTAGCACATTTAAAATGGAACGAGAAGCAGTGCAAGCAGCATTTTCCACGTTTTTATATGATCCCCCGATAATCCTCAGCGCCTAACCGCCCGTTTTTTCTTCAGAGTCATTTTTCTTTCTTCGAAGTTAACGAAAACATTACAAAGTTGTACTCATCATCTAAATTAACAGTGCTAAGCATGCTGCTAATAAGAACAATTAAGTTAAAGAAATATTGAAATTTTCGGCACCCAACTTTTGACTTGAGGTTCATCGCGATTTCCAAGACTTCGATAATTCATTTGTTCTTATCGATAATCAGTGACACTCTGGCACATTTTCATTAACTCCGAAAAAAGAAAAAACTTTAAAGAAAAGTCGGCTGGCTGCGAATCACCGGGGGATCATATAAAAAGCTAGAAAATGCGGCTTGTACAGCTTCTCGCTCCTGTTTAATATGTTAGTAGTCAAGAATAGTAGAAATATTTACGGATAGGTAGACAACGTGAAATCCAGATTCCTTTCAAGCTGCAATCCTCTTCCCCGCAGGAATGTCAATGCATGCGGCCCTTAGGCTGAGTTCATGCCGAACCTTATAGTCCTGGATAGTTCCAGCACAGCGCTCGAATTGTGCGCTGTGTTAGAACAGTTGCGGAACTCAGGGGTCAGTAGAAGTAGCCTTATGAAACTATGATGCATCAAATTGAAGGCCGTCCGCGCTGCACACGGAGAGCAACGCTGTTGCGTACATTGAAAGCTGTTCACGACTGGAAGAAGCGCAGAGAAAACCAGGCAGCGAGAGTGCACGAGAGAAAGGAGTGACGCGCGCTACGCGTCCATTAACAAAAGTTGCTTGGATTATCCGATTTCGCTGCAAGTATGTACAAAACATAGGACAAATACAAACATAAACATACGGAACAAACACATGCAAAGCATGCAGACATATCTAACACTTCTACCCTTGGAATGAAACGAACTGAGATGAAGGTAATCCGACATTTTTTTGGTTTCTAGCTCTTACTTTGTTTATTTCTGAGAAATTTAATTGAATTTTCTCTTTCGTCTGCAAAGGTTACCAGTCTCCTGAGTGTACGGTCTGCAGCAATCGGGACCAGGCCGAACCGTTTGCGTAAATTTGCGCGTTCGCAGCGCTAGAGGTTTGCACTGCACTTGCGCATTGTCAGAGATAGCAAAAGCAATGAAGAGAGATCAGAGAAGCAGCGTAGGCATGGCCGCGAAACCCTACCGGACTCCCGACTGCCCCAATTCCAATCATGCCGATTTTGGCCTGATTGGGATTGGGGCAGACTGTAGGTGCAATGCGATCCCTGTCCTCAGAGCACTTGGTAAAGCACACTTTTCTGTCTCCATAGGTGTTTAAGTATGCGTAGCCAATCACCGCATCCACTTTGTCAAAAATACACGACGAAATTGATTTCAAAGATAATTCCAGTATGCAGATTTCCTGCTGTTAGGAAGAGCTTGCCTGAACGAAAATGAAAAAAAAGGACCCAAACCATCGTCATGAGAGTCTGCACGCTACGTCTCAACCGTTCCAAAATTGTTTGTGAGCTGGATACCCCACGTTTGATACCATACTCATCGCTGCCATTCCTGCATTCTTGCCACTGGTTTGTCCGAGTGTCTACTGGTCTCTTTGTTGCTTGATCTTCTTTGCTGAGCGTGGTAGACTTAGGTCCGTTACGCACGCATGGAAGGTGAGGTGGCATAACAATGTCCATGATGTTATCCAGCTATCCTCGATCTGCTAGTCCAACCCATGTCGTACGCGGGTGAATTCTCGCATTTTCCATGCGCCCAAGCACGTATTAGGGCCTCGATGAGCTCAGCATCCTTCGCCTCGCATGACTGGCTGCACGGACCTAAGTCTACCACGCTCAGCAAAGAAGATCAAGCAACAAAGAGACCAGTAGACACTCGGACAAATCCTGCACCTACTGCTTACAAATTTTGGGGCCGATTAACTATTCCGGCGCGTCAGTCCAACTGCCTCAATAACAAATAGGACGAGTCCGTCTCGTCGCAAGCCGCAGTGATCACCAAACTAATTCCAGTACATGATGTCAAATCCACAAGTTTCGACCGATCACCGCGTAGTAAAGGAACGAGCCCTCTCCGCTTACGATACTAAACTTGCACAAAAGTTGCATTTTCCTCGCGCGTCAGCGCGACGCTATCCAAAGCTATAACAATCACTTTGCTCGACCGCTAAATAACGGGACTTTATAGGAGCTTAAGGGGGCAAGCTGCCGAGCACAATCAATGAAAGAACGTGAGAAATCAGAAAATAAGTGAAATTGAGGTCAGAAATAAAAGACGCACACGGCGACAGTTGCGCGGCATTACATACCTCTCAGTTTGGCAAAGTGCCCAGTGAGGAGAGACACACGAGCTCGTTTAAAGTGTTGCGCACTGCAATATCGGTAACACACTGGTGGCCGGACCTCTTTTATCTACACCAGATGAATCAAGTGTGCCATTGGAGGAGGTGTTTGGAGCCTAAGAGCGGATATTGTCGTGACTCAACTTTTGAGCCTATGACGATGGCAAAAATATCGTGTAAATTCTTAGTTGTGTCTGCGCGCAATGCACACTTCGGCTGTCAAACGGATCAAAAGGATTTGAGATTCTTTCAAAAAAATCAGAGAATTCTAATTTTACTAGTGCATTATGAGGTCCTCCTCAAATCCTCATGGCATTTAAAGAAACGCGCCGGCGATTTTGGACACCTTGTACATATCAGCAATTTTCCCTCTAAACAGGCAACCTAAAGACCATCTGCATTAGGCAACATAAAAAATCTTTTATCTTTATTTTACCAAAAATTGCCCATATGTGGCTTGCATTTGTTGAGCAGCACTTAGCACTTAGCAAAAACATTTGATGCCACCATTTTCCTTTAAAATTGCCTTATTATACTATAAAATTATGTCACACACTTTGAATCGAGTGCTCCAAATCAATTGTTCAAACTTATTTGTATTAGGTCATTCCGAAAGTAATTTCGCTTTTTCAAACGTGCGCCACATCTGATGGAAGAAAGGTTTCTAAGAGAACTTGGAAGCATTCGATGCAGAATTTCATTCTCTTTCTAATGGTTATGGAAATCTTGCATAGCATTCAACGAGCTTTCAGAAAATAACCAAAATCTGCGGCTCGTGCTTTTTGAAATGGTCAAGTTTCGCGATTTTTTCAAACTTTCATATCAGTCCTCAGAAGGAGTTCAAGTAACGGTTCGATAGTGCAAACCTTACAAAATTCAGTACTACTTTTTTTGAAGTCACAAAAGCAGTATATGTATATATATACCACCTGCAGCTGAATCCGACAGTCACCTAATATGTTCCAAAAACAAGTACTAAATCGAACTTCGCACAGCTTCATTGGAGGCGCTACTGCTACGGAAAGGTTTGCGCAAACTTTATAACTGACGATTCCCTTTGGCTAATCGAACATTTCCTAATGTAATTATCGCAAAACTTTCTTCTGGCAGGTAGCATCTCCATGTTTCCAGTGAAGCTGTGCGAAATTCGAATTGTACTTGTCTTTGTAGTAACAGTGTTTTCATCAAGTTTGAGAAGTTTTTAGACTGCTGAGCCCAATTTTTGAGTTAAAAAGTGCTCCGAATCCGAGTTGAGATGATGGTAGATTTTGATGCATACCAAGTAAGTTTTTTCTGCTGCGTTCGCAAGCCGCCACTGAACGTCCAGATGGTACAACCTTTCCACAAACGTACAGATCAGCCGATTACTTTTCGACAACCTAATGATTTGTGCAATTTTTGCGGTCTTTGGCGTTCAAGTAAATTTGCTTCGTAAAATCCCCCTTTCTGGAGTTTGATAGATGCCGGTTGCACTGCATATCTCAAGGCTTAGGGGTACATCTGTAGCCTAGATGGAGAGTGACAAGTATTTCAAAGACGTTTAGCAGAAAGTGGCTGCAAGTTGTGACCAACCTCTATTTTACTTTTTTCGCCAACTTCCCCAAACTCCCTTCAGTGTGCATGAAATTGCTGAAACGATCCTTTTTGTTCTATGATTATGGGCAGTGGAATTTTCATCGTTAGAAAAACTATTTTATGCAATTTAGACAGGTTTTGATACCATTATAACCAAAAGTGAGATCTGAAAGAGTTTCTTTACTCTTTATAACCTCAGAAAAAGTGATGGAAATCAAAAAAAAACAAGAGGCCTTGTACCTTTAAATAGAGATATTCAGGTGAGCTTTTTCGCATCGCAGTGAAAAGCGCAAACTCTGGACTTTCCGTAAAGATTTTTTTCATACGCGCAAAGTTTTATTTCGTGAAGAGCACTAAATGAGATTTGCATCTTTTAAAGGCAGCGTCCAGGCAAATCTGTACCTATGGGGATTTTACGTGGAAAGTACTTTTGGGGCCCTAACTAAGCCATTGCCCAACCGGCAGCTCAGGTAGTGCCCTAACGGCTGAGATATTCCCCTCAAAACTGGACCCCGCGACCGTGTTTCGCATGGATTCATGGCGCAAAGCGTGGATCCTGGCGCGAAACTGCCATGAATCCATGCGAATACGTTCGCGGGGGCCAGTTTCAAGGGGAATATCTCAGCCATTAGAGCACAACATGAGCTGCCGCTTGGGCAGTGTCTTAGTTAGGGCCCCAAAAGTACTTTCCACGTAAAAGCCCCGTAAATCCAGATCTGCCTGGACGCTGCCTTTAAGGAAAAGCATAAAAAATCTTCCATAGCTTTAATCTCTCATGCTTAGGATCAAAGGCAATTGTAACCTTATTGCATAACTGAAAGTTTAGAATTAGTTCCAAATTGCTATTGCAAAAGCTATCCTCTATTAGAACCAAGGGAACATAAGGAAAAAAGAACTTATTAGGTGACTGTCGGATTCAGCTGCAGGTGGTATATATATACATATACTGCTTTTGTGACTTCAAAAAAAGTAGTACTGAATTTTGTAAGGTTTGCACTATCGAACCGTTACTTGAACTCCTTCTGAGGACTGATATGAAAGTTTGAAAAAATCGCGAAACTTGACCATTTCAAAAAGCACGAGCCGCAGATTTTGGTTATTTTCTGAAAGCTCGTTGAATGCTATGCAAGATTTCCATAACCATTAGAAAGAGAATGAAATTCTGCATCGAATGCTTCCAAGTTCTCTTAGAAACCTTTCTTCCATCAGATGTGGCGCACGTTTGAAAAAGCGAAATTACTTTCGGAATGAACTGTGGCGAACTGTGGCGCCCGTCTAAAAAATGCGAAACTACTTTTGGGTGAACCTGGTATTTTTACGCCACTTTTTAGATAGCCGTGAGGCGCTCGAACTGTGTCAAAATGTCGCTACTTTTTAGATGCCATTAGTGGTTTTAAACGTTGGAAATTCTGATCCGCCGTGACAGATAAATGGCAACGAGTCCTGACAGGAGAGTTTAAAACGATCTGTGGCTGGGCTAATTGGATGAGTTTGAGCCATCTTACTATACCCAGCCGCACCCTCGTTACCTTAAGGCAGCAGACCATGAAGGGCAGTGAAGATATGTAGATTAGTTTGTGGGTGCTGCATACACTAAGTCTACACTGAGCAAAAATACCAAATGCAGATGAAGCCGATCAAAGCAAGGATCTACTTTCTTCATACTGCTTCAATGCTTCTATCTCAGAAGTCAATAATTAACAACTGATCAATCTGTTTTTTTTAGTAAACTCTATTCTGTCTTTTGGGTATTATGACGTCGACTGCTGCCACGAGTGCCGTTTTGATTTTTCAGATAACAAGCTTCTATGGCCATAATGGAAATGGAAAGAAAACGACGCGCTGTTTCCCTCAGTTTTCCAAAAAAGCTAGATAGAACTCTTACGGTAACATGGCCACGACAGGACGTGCCAATTTGAAGACACTCGTGAATTAAAAGTGGAAACGTTGTTTACACAACGAATAAGATATACAAAGGACAAGAGAATTTTTACGGTTGAAATAATCTTCTTTTTAACATTTATTTCAATGTGTTCTCCGCTAAAATGCGTAAGGAGGATTTTTTGCTTGACCTTCTATGAAACATAGCTGCCGACAAATGACTGACTTTGTTGCATAGTGAAGGTACTTAGAGAATACCATACACTCGTAGAAAAGTATTTTACGTTGAATTTCCCTGCAAACACGCTGCACAATGCTTTATTTCATCTTATCACAAGAAGAAACAGGCAATGAGGAAAAGTGCTCGTTTCAGTCAGCATGGACTCCCAAATACCTCGCAAGTACACTTCTTTTGGCATGTCCATTTGTCAGCTTTGCACTTGTGGAAACATTCCATGCTGAAAACACAAAATCTTTGTTGCGCATTAAAACAACGTAGTTTCAGCCTTACAAGCGTCGCGATTCTTCTGGCGAGAGGGTACTAGCATTCGTTAGCCCCAAGGAACAAGCTCCCAGGAAGAAAAAGAAAAACAGCAAGTTCATTGTTGTTTTCAGCAATATGAGTGTGCTCTGAAAAATTCTGATTAATTTTTGGGTTTGTTTATACTGGTACACGAGAGAAAAGCGAAAGCACAGCGTTCTTGACTGATTGAGTCTCCTTTGCAAGACATGGATATATTGAAAAAGATGGATTGAAGCGAACTTGCGATTAGAAGGTTAAAAAAGTTCGATGAAAGCTGCACTGCGTCTTTAAAGAGTGAGTTGATGTAGTGTGTTATGCTCGTGATTCAAATAATCCACTGAAGTGGTAGGATTCGTAATAATAAACTGTGTTTTTTCTCTTTTGTGCAGATTGTCCTAAAGAACATAATGCCTAGACAAGAGCAAAAGCTTTTTATCATGTAAGCGAGCATGAAAAAATATTACTCGCAAAATGAAACTCCCGTAAGTTCTCGAGAAATTCATTTAGACTATCATACTTCGGTCATCAATGGCCATCAGGGAGGTACAAGTACCGTAATTGAAGGTGGCACTTCTAAGCGGAGTAGCCTATCTCGAAAAGTAGCCCATGAACGCTTCCCAGTTACACGGTTGTCTCAAAAATAGGCCTGTTCCTATAGGATGGTGGCAGGACAATTATAGCTGATGAGCTCATATGTAAATGCTGTGCGCCTATTACAGTTGCTTTGATGATTTTGAGTAACGATTTCGGAACGCTATATGTGATAAAAAAATTTCTAAAAAAAGTGTGAAATACTGACCAGGTTGCATCCAAATATGCTCCATTTTCTGATCCAGTAAATTTGAGCTTTTCTCTTTTTGGCAAAGTGAGCCAAATGTTTCAACATGCAAAGGACGTTTTATGATATCTCGCGCATCTTTTGCGAGGAAAGTTGATGCAAGTTTGATTGCTAGTAATATTTGCGCATATAGCAGAATTCGAGTGCAATTGCAAGTTTGCTGTCGTCGAACTCCCCTTTTAGTCACTCTATACTGAAACGATTCTTTTTGTTTCATGAATATGGGCAGTAGAATTTTCATCGTTAGAAAGACTTTTTGATGCAATTAGACAGGTTTTGATACCATTATAATCAAAAGTAAAATCTGAAAGAGTTTCTTTGCTCTTTATAACCTCAGAAAAAGTGATGGAAATCAAAAAAAACAAGAGGTTTTGTACTTTTAAATAGCCTTATATTCAGGTGAGCTTTTTCGCATCGCAATGAAAAGCGCAAACTCTAGACTTTCTGTAAAGATTTTTTTCGTACGCGCGAAGTTTTATTTCGTGAAGAGCACTAAATGAGATTTGCATCTTGTAAGAAAAAGCATAAAAAAATCTTTCATAGCTTTAGTCTCTCATGCTTAAGAGCAAAGGCAATTGTAACCTTATTGCATGAGCGAAATTTTAGAATCAGTTCGAAGAATTGCTATTGCAAAAGCTACTTTCTATTAGAACCAAGGGAACATTAAAAAAAGAGAATTTATTAGGTGACTGTCGGATTCAGCTGCAGGTGGTATATATATATATATATTTCTGCGGCAATGGCTTTTGTGACGTACTCGGAAAAAAGTTTGGATTATAATAAATTTTGTACGCTTCAAAGCTAAAGAAAACTCAAGTTAAGCTACTTAAAATTGACATCAAACCAGTGCATCATTAATCTTCTCATTTTCTTTGGCCAATTCGAAGCTTAAGATAAATCCGTTTGTTTTCTCTGCACCATGTACAGAAAGTTCTCTGTCTTGCTCAATTCAGCTCTATTCCAAATTTTTTGTTACAGATGCTGCTAAATCTCCTTTATATACCGAAGTGTGCCTACGTTCTCCAACCAACTCTTGACTACTAGTAAAAATGTTTTTATCGAAGATAGACCTACCTTTCAAAATAAGATGATTAGCAAGAGCAATCGGGAAACGCCTATTTGCGAACTGACTCGTTTACATGGCAGGTAGTTTAGGGCTGTTAAATCCTCAGCCTTTCTATGTTCGTTGGGAATTTGTTACAGCAAGTGACGTACAATTCTCATATCTATCTACAGTCTTTAATCTATTCGTGCTAATGGGAGCGAGGATTTGAGCTGCAATGAAAAATTTGAAACACGTTTTGGTTTTCATAGCTGCAAATTCTTAGAGGCATCAAAGAATTCACAATCGCCATCATTCTTTCCAACTCAATGTGCCATCATTTTATATCACAAATTTATATTAATAGAACAATCAATTTATTTAACTAACCAACCAAAGCAATGTGGAATGTAATAGCAAATTTAGAGAATAGGCGAGGCGTATTAATGAAAATCACTTTTGAAGTATGAAGATTTGTACAAATGCACAGTAAGAAAAGTGTTTCTGATCTTAGAAGACCACGAAGCATTGAATATACACAAAGCAATAATACGAAAGTTGTCAATACATCAAAATTTTCACTTTGTGCGAAATCTTGTGGAGCGCTTTGATGTGGCAGGCGTTGCCAAGCACAAGCAATACAATATAATCTCTAAACTTTTTGAGACACACTTAGGCTGCGTTTATACTGATTTTATGTTCCGTAACAGTTCCAGCACAGCGCTCGAATGGTGCGCTGTGCTGGAACAGCTCCGGAATTTACGGGTCAGTATAAAACCAGCTTATGAAACTATAAAGCACCAAGTTAGCAAGAGTTGTGGAATTATCCAATTTCGCGGAAATACAAAACATACGAGAACATACAAACATAAATATATACGGAAAAAACATAGGCAAAGCATGCAAACATATTTACCTGTGAGATGTAAAACGATGATTGCGATACATTTTTGATTTCTGGCCCCCACTCTGTTTATCTCTGAGAATTTCCTAATTAGTTTGGTCTGCAATTGTTAAAAATACACGATGAAATCGGTTTGAACTGGAAGACATTTTCAGTAATCAGATTTCGTGCTGTTAGGAAAGCTTGCCTGAACGATAATGAGAGAAAGGACTCTAGCATCGTCATGAGAGCTGTCCGCATGCTACGCCTCGAGCCTTCCAGATACTTTGGTTGTGAGCTGGTCTTACAGCTACTGGAGACTATGACAATAACTTTGCTTGAATTTATAAATTGTCATTAGGCAAGTCAAATACTTAGATGGCTTTTCTGAAAACGAATTCTTTGATTTGTTAGACTAATTAAGTAGTCAACTTTTTATGAAACTAATGTTTTTTTAGCAACGTATTCATGTGAGAATACGGAAGCATCTCTGTTAATGTAAGAATTACCGTATTTAAAATATAGGATTGCCCCAAATTCAGCCTCACTGTGCAAAAAAAAAAAGCCTCCTGCGTATAGTAAATGAATTCTTACTCTGACACAGACGCATATAATATCCCCGTTGAGCATCTTAAGCTGAGCAGTACGTAAATGATAGAAAGTGAGGTTTGCTCCGTTGAAAGATGTCCTTTAAGATTTGTACAGTCATTTTCTGAGGACCCCAGACCACATTTCTCCTTGAATTCGCTCCCTGTTACAACAAGTAAGTCAATCTCTAGCAATGCTGCTTCTTATCTTGTGTCTGTGACGGGTTGTGCCGGCATCATTTACTCTGAATTCCTCAAAACCTTGAATTTCATAGTTTGCACGAATGCTATGATTATCGACATTTTGCTGCCAAAAAGTATGCAGAACATAAAACTGAAAAATGTCGTAAGCAGAAATTAGTTAACATAGGTAATTTTGGGTTTGTACGTTATACAAATAAGTTTGAACAATTGATTTGAGGCACTCGACTCAAAGTGAGTGACATAATTTCACAGTATATTAAGGCATTTCTAAAGCAAAACGGTGGCATCAAATGTTGTTGCTAAGTGCTAAGTGCTGCTCAACAAATGCGAGCCACATACGGGCAATTTTTGGTAGTAAGAAAAAAGACTTTTTATGCTGTTTAATGCAGATGGTCTTTAGATTGCGTTAAAGGAAAAATTTAAGGGTTTAAAGGAAAAATTGCTGATATGTACAGGGTGTCCAAAATTACCGGCACGCGTTTTTTTGAATGCTAAGAGGATTTGAGGAGGACCTCATAATGCACTAGTAAAATTAGAATTTCCTGGTTTTTTCGAAAATCTCAAATTCTTTTAATACCCGAAGTCTGCACTGCGCGCAGATACAACCAAGAATTTACACGATTTTTTTGCCATCGTCAGAGGCTTAAAAGTTGAGTCACTACAAAATCCGCTCTTAAGCACCAAACCCTCCTCCAATGGCACACTCGCTTCATCTGGTGTAGATGAAAGAGGTCCGGCCACCAGTGTATTACCGATATTGCAGTGCGCAACTTTTAGACGAGCTCATGTGTCTCTCCTCGCTGGGCACTTTGCCAAATTGAGAGGTATGTAATGTCGCGCAACTGTCGCCATATGCGTCTTTCGTTTCCGGCCTCACTTTCAATTGTTTTTTGATTTTTCACGTTCTTTCATTGATTGTGCTCGGCAGCTCCCCCTTGAGCTTCCGCGGATGAAGTCTCGTTTTTTAGCGGTCGAGCAAAGTGATCGTTATAGCTTTTGGATAGTGTCGCGCTAACGCGCGAGGAAAGGTAGACAAGTGGAATCCTGATATCTGGAGCATCAGGATTTGAAGCTTTCTTTTGATGCGATCCTCCTCCCCAGCGGAGGTTAATGCATGCGACCTAAGTGTATAACAAAAAGTTTAGAGACTACATTGTACTGCTTGCTTGGCAACACCTGCCAAAGCGCTCCACAAGGTTTTTACTTGATTCAGCTCATTAAAAACTAGGCTTAGACTGTGTTGGCAAACATAAAAATGCACAAAGTGAACTATTTGATACGTGCGTACATAAATCTAAGTTTGTGGAAAGTTGAGACATTTTGCTTATCACTGCTTTGTGTGAATTTAATGCTTCCGTAGTTTGCAAAGTTTAGAAACACTCTTTTACTCTGCATTTGTACAACACTTCATGCTTCGAGACCCGTGAAGAAAACAAGCTCGCAAATTTTTGGCTCAAAATAATTCGTATCCGTAATTTCTACGATACGCCTCTCCTCTGAATTTGCCACTACATTCATAACGCTTTAATTGATTTAGTTGAGTAAATTGGTAATTTGTGATTATTATATGTTTGTGATA